GTAGCAGATTACAAAGCCACTTTCTTATGTCTACGCGCCTGCGTTCGATCTCCCCTTCGGAGCCAAAGCGTCATTTGACCTTGGTATGTGGTTGTGCTGATGGAACCAAGTGATAAGATGACTTGTCAGTTTGACGATCCATCCACTTGGTCTGCCAATCTGGTGTGTGTGTGTGTGTGTGTGTGTATAAGTTAACTGTGATAATGAACGCACAATTGCTTCATCGTGCCCCAATAGAACTTTGCATATGCTTACGCGTCTGATGTTGCAGGATCGTAATTTTTAGACATGAGTGCTTGATTTGCTTAAAAACTGTGCGCCCTCTGAGTACGCGACCGTCCCACCACGATTTTGAGAGGTACTGTTTATTGTGATATTTTTGTTAGATGTACCACCCCGAAGAGGCTTCCTTGGTGTAAGATGTTTGTCTAGGTAGGTGGTTCGTGGAAGATCACAGGTGGCTAGAGTAGGGATTGATGTAGTTGCCTGAAAACGGTGACTGGAACATTCATTCATGTAGTTCTCGTTGGGCTTCCTGGTCTATATCTCATTGATACACCTAATAAACGATTAGAAACTGGCCAATGTGATTGAATTTGTCAAACGGTGACACCTACTCGGTGTATGCACACAGTCCGATGACCGGTGGGACTTATGTTACATTGATACAGCCCTTGGAGTATGCAATGCGCTTTTTTCATTATTCGATGAGGGGGTCGAAAGACAAAAATAATAAACCTGTGAGCGAAAGTGCAAAATTAAATACTGTGTACACTGCAGTTATCGCAACCTTAACGGTTGCGGTTAATCTCACTTTGTCATCGCTTTTTCTGTGCTATCTAATTCCATTTTCCCTCTTGTTTTCATCTGTTACCCACTCCGATTACTCCCATATGCAGCAAGCTCTACTTCAGATAAATTTCGGGCGATTGAAGGTCGTCGGTTGGAGGATGGTTTTCGTGTGCACATCAATCGACTCGGTCTAACAGATACCGTCAGCTCGGACAGCGCTCATGACGAAACAGTTGTGTTTGTCGGACATGCAAACGTGTTTCGTTACTGGTTGTGTCGGGCACTACAGCTGCCCCCGGAAGCTTGGCTTCGGATCCAGTTGTATCACGGGAGTGTAAGTTGTTTGGTACTTCACTTCGAGCCGGGACCGGACGGTGCTTGTGTGGTGACTGCCACCCGGATTGGCG